CTCCAGATTTTCATTGAATCCATTCTGAACCTGGAAATTAAAAACAACAGCAACAAAAACTGCCTTTTTGGGGTAATTTTTGTCTCAGTCTTACTTTAAGCATGCTGACAGAGAAATGTTCACTATTGGCTGAAGCATGAATATGAAAACCAGAGACCATCGGTTGCTACAGGACAGGGAAGTCATCCTGCCCCTGTACTCAGCACTGATGAGGCCCCACCTCAAGTACTGGGTTTGGTTTTGGGCACCTCCATACAGAAAGGACATTGAGGTGCTGGAGCAGGTCCAAAGAAGGGCAGCAAGGCTTGTGAAGGGCTTGGAGAATGTGTCCTGTGAGGAGAGACTGAAGGAACTGGGGCTGTTTAGTCTGGGGAAGAGAAGGCTGAGGAGACACCTTATGGCTCTTTTCAGATACCTCAAAGGTGATGGCAGCGAGGGCAGGGTTGGTCTCTTCTCACTGCTGACAGGTGACATGATGAAGAGAAATGGCCTCAAGTTGTGCCAGGGGAGATTTAGGTTGGATATCAAGAAAGACTTCTGTACAGAAAGGGTTGTTAAGCACTGGAACAGGCTCCGCAGGGAGGTGGTTGAGTCACCATCCCTGGATGTGTTTAAAAACCCTTTGGATGTGGTGCTCAGGGCCATGATTTAGCAGAGGGATGTTAGAGTTAGGGTGGTATGGTTAGGTTGTAGTTGGACTTGAGGATCTCTGAGGTCTTTCCCAACCTGAGCAATTCTGTGATTCTATGATTTCTGTCAGAAATACCTATTTAGTGGTAGAACATTTTGTTCCGTAGAGATTTGTATGCTGTTTAACATAATCTTTGGTCAAACGTGTCTGACTCAACCAATCATGGCTTTTTGAAAAAGTAGCCAAATATTTTTGCTTGGGGAAAATAAAAGAGCAAATACCAGCTGGAGGTGTTCTATTTAGCACAGTCCAGTATGAAATATTCTGTCTTTTGAGTATCAGCTGCCTACAACATGTGCTTTTCTTCCATTCAAGTTAAATGGCTTTGCTGTCATAAATTAACCTGTGTGGTGCTCTTACTGAGTTTACATGTGGTGGGTGCAGGGAAAGAGCATGTAAAAATAAGTGAGATATGTTGACCTATGCAGTGGAAATGCTAAGTCACAGCCTGAACCAGTGATTGAGCACCTGGTGGGAACACAGGGCCAACCCAAGGGAGCTCAGATGCAAGCAATGCTCTGAGTGACTGGAAGGGGTGGAGCCAGGACCCGTCCTTTCCCAGACCTCATTTAAGGGTTGGCAGTGGTGGTGAGGGTCTTTTGCTGGAGGTCCCTGTATACCTCAAGCTTTTTGAAGGTAAGCAGTTTGTCTTCTTCTTGGATTTCTGTGCTTATGGTTGCTGTATTTGATCTTGTTCTCATGTGCTATAGTCCAGGAGTGTGCCACTCCACTGTTATTGTACTTTCTATTATATTATCGTATTACAACCAGTTTTAGTGAAGTCTCGTCTCCTTCAGGCTAATACTGTAGCAGTGCAACAAAGCCTATTGGTCCACACATTCTCTGTGTTAAGTCCTATACTCCTAATGAACAACTTATAAGGTGAAAGAAAAGAAATAAAAAGTCTAAACAAATAATTAAAGCAAACTATGGGGTCTTGTTGAGTTTGGTTTTTTTGGGGGGGCGAGGGGGTCTGACTGTAACTGGGGGGAGTTCGCATACATAAATACCAAGTGTTAACAGTAATCACCATTGTTGCTTTTCTTCTGCTTGGCATCTTGTATGCAGGTGTTAATTATGAGCAGACCGGAAGGAACCCATGTGAATCTTGAATGTGGCTATAGCTGTATGCAAGCAATGTAAACTTGCATTAAAAAAAATCTTTTTAGTTAAAATTTATTATTATTGTGGTATCACAAAAAGAATTATGTTTCTTATTATCTATGGTGATAAGTTTACCTCGGGCTTCTATTTTCTATTTTGAACTTCTGAAATGATTCCTGTGGGTGTGAGTTTCTTTTTCTAAGCCACCAGCAAAAGACAAAGCACTTTATATTTACGTAAAAAGAGCGTATTATTTCTTCATTAATGCTTGCCTTTTGTGTGGCAAAGAGTTTGAGAGTTCACTGGGCTTTCTCCTCAGTATGTACTCTGTGGCTTGTGCGAGATGGATTCAGCAAAGGAAGGTTAAAAATGGTGTCATACACAAAATGGCTGAAGTCAAGAGACATGGCTTCAATTATTAGGTCTGTCTATGTCCTGTTTCTTGGGTAAATTTGGGAAACAACTTCCCTTCAGGTCTCTTCCATGTGTTCCTTTCCTCTAGTTTGTCTGACTGGTTTTGCATTGTGACTGTTTTGCATTTGGGCCCTGATCCAGTTTTCAATATATACTGTCCAACTATCTGTGGTCTAGCTGCAATGGAAGCCCCTTTATTGTTAGCTTGACAGACATTAATAAAAGCAATTCTATGCGTCCAAGGTAAGGTACACTGTATCAAGGATTAGCTTTTCATTATCTCTTGTAGTTTAGAGAAGTAGTATGGCTTTGGGAAAGTTTCTCCTACTATTAAATAGTAATATGCTAGTCTATAGTAATAGAACTTCTCAAAATGATAGTGTGTGGCAGTTATTAATTATGGATCCCAGTGAGGATTGCCAGTTTCGCTTATGGATTACGCCAGTTACAATTACGGGTTCCAGTTACACTTGTGTCTATAAGGTGCCTTTCTACAGTATTTGCATTGAGTTCTAGTGGAGAGTCTAAAGACTAACCCTAAAGAGCATCTTTGTCAAATTTTGGCATAGCTACAGTACTCTTACCTTAAAGCAAGAATTAAAGCAAAGCAAAACAAAAACAAGAAATGAAAATTGAACAACAGGCTAAAACACTTGATTGTTGAGAATGAAGAAAATAAGACGTTTACAATAAAGAGGTGAGAAATGTCTTGCAGTATAGTTTCTAATGTAGAAACATTTTAATTGAGCATTTAAAAAAAATAAAACAACACCTCTTATTTAAAGTAAACATAATCTGGGAACTTTAGTGAAGAAGCACTACCCCATACATTCAGAACTCGGGCTCTGAAGGCCACCTGTGGGGTTCATCTTGGGACAGGAGCTCTTCAACTTCTTTATCAGTCATCTAGACAATGGGAGCGAGTGCAAATTTGCTGACAGCACCAGTCTGAGTGGTGCAGTTGATATGGCAGAAGGAAAGGATGTCATCCAGAGGGGCTGGACAAGCTTGTAGTGGGCCCATGTGAACCTAATGAGGCTCAACAAAGCTAACTGCAAGGAGTTGTTGGCAATATCTGTACAGACTGGGAGAACTCACTGAGAGTAGCCCTATGGAGAAGTACTTGAGGGTTCTGGCAGATGAAAAGCTTGCAGTGAGCCAACAGTGTGCATTTGTAGCCTGTACAGTCAAATGAATTCTGGTCTACATCAAAAAAGAGGTGGCCAGCAGCATGAGATCCAATCTATCCTTTTGAAGTCCCATCTGGAGTTCCCAACACAAAAAAAGAGGTGCAGCGCTTGGAGTAGGTCCTCAGGAGGGCCACAAAGCTGCTCAAAGGGATGGAGTACCTCTCCAGCAAAGAAAGGCTGAAGTAGCTGGGCTTCTTCAGCCAGGGGAACACTTGGAAGGCCATGCTGGCTCTCCAGTACTTAAAGGGAGGCTTATAAATAAAATAGAGGCTGACATCTTACGGAGTCTGATTGGAGCTGGTGGCAGCCCTGACCACAGGTGGGTTGGAATTAGACAATTTTTAAGGTTCCTTCAGCCTAAACCATTCTGTGATTCCACAGTTCCATGATTCTAATTCAAGGTGCAGCACCAACAACTGCATTTGATATTCTTAATGCCTCTCTCTTATATTATACAGCTGGGAAGCCCTATGTTCACATATATAAGATGTATTCTAATATCTTATAAGGTACCATTTTGAGAAAGGTATTGTCATCTTGCAGTTCTTTTTTTTTAATAGTGTATTCTCCATTTATGCTTTCTTCTTGCCAGCCCAATATTCTCCTTTGATATACTGGATCTTTTCTGCCTATAGATGCCTCCTATGGGAAAAATGTTGTGCCTGCACCTGAAGACTCCCAGCTGGCCACACAGAAAAGTGTGTTGCTTCTTTGGCAAGTGTTTCTGTGACTTAGTCACATGGTTGTTTTGTGGGAAGCATCTTGGAATTTTATATAGCACCAAAAAAGAATTAACTTTCTTATGACTGTGCAACCAATATTCATGGAAATAACATAATGCAGCAATGAAGAAATATTTTGTTTGGAACTTAACGTGATGTATAGATCATTCTTTATCAGGAGCCACCTGGCCAGTACACAGTGCAACTACATCATATTCACAGCAGCACTGAAGAACCGTGTGACTAGGTTTCTCTTTCTCATGAGTGCTTCTTTGATTTAAACCAAAATGTGCATAAAGTTGAAATATAGCCTTGCATATTGGATTATCAAATGATACAAACATACTGCATGAAATGGAGGAGATCCTGGCCTCCTGCTGTGCTTATGTACGTAGGGAATAAAAGGGACTGCAAAAAGCAGAGCAGCATTAATCTTAATGTCCGAGACAGCACGAGCAGGATTTTTTTTGACAGCTGCATTAACTTGCTTGCTACCAATCTTTGATATGTCACTGCAGTGAAGTGAGATCCTCGGCTCGGCTGGACCAGCTGAGGTCACATCTCAGGAACAGGCCGTTTGCTTTGTAGTTATCTCCTTACAGCTATTAGTGCTGTTTGTCTTGAGACAGCTTATTGTGATCATGGACAAGAGAGGACAATTCACAGCTTGGAAGAAGGTGGAAGGACTCAGCTATTAGAGAACTACTTCACTCTTCATTCTACTGGCAGAGTAGAAGGGAAATTTGTCAGTTACAGCAGCTTACTTCTAAAGCTGTAAGTAAACGAGCTGAATGCTGCCCTTACAGTCCCCGCTCCGCCGACATTATGACGTCACACACACGTGACCGTTCGCGCTCGATGCTTTCTGTCCCTGTGCAGCCGCCGTACGGCCTGTCGGCTGTGCCGGGCGGCCGCCGCCATGGATTACCGCGCTGAGGTGATGAGGCAGGCCGTGCCCGGGCAGTTCGATGACGCGGAGTGCTCCGACGGGTATGTGCGCACGTAGCCGGGCGCGGAGGGCGCTGGGCTTTAGTGAAGCGGGGCGGCCCCGCTGGAGCCGTTCGGGTTCTGTTTGGAGTGATGGGGGTGCCGCTGCTTGTTGCTAAAGGCCGTTCTCTCTCGTCCTGTCACCATTACTCGAGAGGTGAGGCCGCCCCTCGCCTCACCACAGCCTCCTATCTGGTAGTTGTAGTGTACAGTGAGGTCTCTACTGAGCCTCCTCTTCTCCAGGCTAAACAATCCCAGTTCCATCAACCACTCCCTGTAAGCCTCCATGCTCCACACCCTTCACCGCTTCATAGCCCTTCTCTGGACACACTCCAGGGCCTCCATGTATTTCTTGTAGTGAGGGGCCCAAAACTGAAGTACTCACAGCATTCAGTACTTTAGGTGGGTGAAGTGACAAACATCTCCTGGAGAGCTAACATCCCAGAATTGCTTGCTGGGGTAGGTATACTGAACTTGTAACCATAACGACCATTTGTAGTTATATCAGTCTGTATTTGTTCCAAGTGACCTTGCAGAAGATGCAGAAATAATTCAGGAAGATGAGTTTGCTGAGAAATGCCGGTCAAGCTTGTGCAAAGGGATCAACGTGAAGGAAGGAGATAGTGATGATGACAGTGTTGATGAAGAGGAAGAAGATGATGATGATGATGACTGGGACTGGGATGATGAGATGGGAAGACTCATGAAGTGCCACACTGCTGCTGGATGCAATCAGCAGGTATGCTGAAGGCTATTCTCTCAGTAACAACAGTGTCTTAAAGCAGATGAGGCTAACCTAGAGGTTTTGTTCTATTTAGTCCTGAGCATCAGTTCTAGTGGAAATTCATCATTGAGAGAAACCTATTTCTTTGTATCTGTTGTTGTGCCATGCTGTTTGTGTAGTCAAAGCTGTACTTGGCTTCCTTGTCTTAAGCCTTTTTGCTGGGTTCTCTATGTCTTTGCACTTTTCCTTCTGGTCCCTAACTTTTCCTTCTGGTCCCTAACCTCCATAAGTGTAGTGGTTGGTCAGGAAGACAAACACTTTGATAATGAAAGCATAGCGTTGTATAGCGTAGAATATTCTCCTGGTCAGTTTATGTCAACTGTTGTGGATGGGTCCCACCCCTCACCTGCTGGCCTTTGGAGGGAAAATTGGAGAGTCTTCATGCTGTGTCAGCACTGCTCAGCAATAGCCAAAGCACTGCTGCAGTACCAGCGCTGTTAGAGCTACACATACAGAGCACAGTGTTGCATGGGCTACTGTGGGAGCCATATCCAGCTCTTCCTAATAGCAGTAATAATACAGGTGGAAGAAAGTGCTGGAAGTGGGCGGATTTAGACTGAATGTTGTTAGTTTAGAAACTCTGTGCAGAATGTAAGGCCCATGAAGGTGTGAGAATTAGAGTCCTTTGTCCTCTCAGCCTGGCCAGTGGAGGTTCAAAATCTCTCTGGTATCAGTAACAGCATAACAGAATAGCTGAGATAAATGAGAGTGGTGCTGATAGTGGTATACTGTCTGACTCAAAGCACCTGTGTGATTTACTCTTGCTTATTAGCATTTTTTGCTGTCTGGTGTTGATGGAAAAAGTGTTCAGATGCTGTGTTGTTCAGAGAAGACCGTCTTGGGAAGTTCTTTCTGTTCTTCATCTTATTTTTTTTTGTTCTTGTTTCTGTCTGTTACTCCCTTTTACTTTAAAGATCAGTGTTTAGTTTGCAGGTCAATTTTCTACCAAAAGTAACCCTGAACTGGGGCACTTTTTGGAATCCATTTCCTCGCTCATTCTGGTTTTCTGCTTAGAGCTATTGGCACAGGTACTTGAGCTGACATTTCCAGTGGTATTGTCTGTATCTGAAGGGACTGTTTAGAGAAGGTGACTTACACTGACAAATCCTTTGTTTCAGGCAAATAGGCAGACCCCTAGTTGCTATTCAGCAAAAATGTCTACCCCTACAGACAAGGCTTTGAGGAAATTTGAACATAAAATTAATTTAGGTGAGTATAATTGTGTTGTCTTCTTCTAAGAAAACAGATACCACTCTGAAATTCTCAGGCTAATTCTGCTTGCTTTAAGCCAGAATTTATTGGAATGGCAGCTAACTGTTGCCAGATAATTATTAAGGGCTTTTGTGTACTTGAAATTGCCTTAAACTTTGCTAACCAGCTGTCATATCCCTTTTCTACCCCTTCAGAGCCAGAGAATTCTTCTTCTCTTTACTTCCTCAGGTCACACAAAGTATTTGTTCCATAGCCTCTCTGTAGAAACCCAAGCAAGTTGTTTGGGCTGAGGGAGACTAGCAGCTTTCTGCTGCAATGCACTGGTCATTCTCTAAAGTGCTACTGCAACTCAGTTTCTTTAGAGGATTGAGGTTCCTTGTGGTATTAGTGTGGTACCTCATGCAGCAGTTACCTGACAGAATTTTTGAGACAAGTAAAGAGATTTCTTTCCTTTCTTGTGTGCTTGTTTATCGTGTGATTAAAATGGCTGCTCTGCTCAGCCTGTTAAGAAAAGTTGTAGCTGTGAGTGGGGCTTTTTAATGGAACAGTAAATAGTTGCATTTCCTTCATAATTAAGTGGTTCTAAAATGAAGGCTGCAAAGAGTGGTACTGGTATGTGTAGCCAAACAGCAGTTTTATGTAGTTAACAGTCAAGCACCATTTTGAGTATGCTGTGGGAACAGAAACTTGGAGACTGCTGTGTCCTCTGGCATTGGACTGGTTTAAGAGAGAAGGGCAGATGAGTTTGACAGTAAAATGCCATCCAAAGAACGTTACTTCTGGTTGGCATTGCATCCCCATGCTCATGAGACTACAATAGTTATGTTGTAGTCCTGCTTGGGATTATAGTCAGAGCAGATAGCTAGGTAAACTCATGTTTAACTAAACTTCTGTGATGAGCTTCTATCTTCAGGCAGCCAACTGGCTTGTTATACAGAGATCCATCTGTGTTTGAACATTGTGTTGTGGCATACTGACTGTTGGGAGAATTGCAGAAGCAATTCCAAACAGAAAAAAAATTTCTTTTCCTCTCCATATCTTATGTGTTTTTCAGATAAGCTGAATTTTGATGACTCTGTTATAAACAGAGTCACAGAAAAGTCTAGACAGAAGGAAGCAGACATGTGAGTATTACACTGTCTCTATACTCATTGATGTAATTTGAACTCAGAAGAGTTCTTCTTATTCCCTGGTTTGATCCTGAAATTTGAATAACTTTATTAAGGAAAAGAGAACCAACTTCTAAGCAAGCAGTCAGCATGCAGTTTGCATCTCAGTCTTAAACTTTTTTGATTTCCAGATCAGTTTCTTAAGTTATTCCACAGTTGTGATCTTCTCATCCCTGAAGTGGAGACAAGAAACTATCTGTAATGGGGAGGGGCACTGATGCTTTTGGGCTTCTTTTTTTGTTTTCTTGCCTGTAGGAGAAAACTTTGCCGTTGTATGAACTGAGAGCCTTCTTTTTTGAGGCTGCCATCTTCTCTTTGTTTCACTTTATTAAAGTATATGTAGGTTTATATTGCTTTACTTTGTCTAGGTGCCGAGTCAAAGATAAGTCAGACAGAGCAACAGTAGAGCAAGTAAGTCCTTAATGCATCAAATTTCTCTTTTGACTGGAATAAATAATCTGGAATCTTGAAATCACTGGTAAAACAGCTGATATAGGAGAAGACTTGCCTTGCAATTCAGTTTCCCTTATCCTAAAGAAGCCTGTTGTTTCTCTCTTTCTTGTATGAAAGTTGTGCTTGCTCCCATAGCTGTTTTGGAGCTCATTTTTGTGCTTGGCATCATGATTTGATGGTATATGCAATGCAGAATTCCATTTTAAGCATTTATTGAATTCTGAGCATCAAAGACAAAATGCTGGGTTTGCTTTCTTCCCATTTTTCTTAAGGAAGGCTGAACTGTTACTGGCCCAAGGCCATATAGCTGCTCCATTTATGCCTGCTATACCATATTTTACCATCTGGTGCAAATCTAAGTGGGAAATCATTCTCTTTAGTCTGTTGTGAAGCTAGCTCAAGGGCATACGCTCATTCTAATTTCTACTTTTTTTTTGAAGTAAATTGAAGTATCATTCTAGAATCATGGCAAAATCCAGTATGGCAGCTGTTTGAGCATCTTTTGATCCTTAAGAACAGCCTGATGTCATTGGTCCTTTAGTGTAGTACTAAGGAGGGGCTGTAGAAGTAAGCAAGCTTAATTCTCTTCATAGTGCTTGTAGTAGCACTTGTAGTGACTGTTTTTTGTTTAACTTGAGGTGTTGGACCCAAGGACCCGAATGATTCTGTTCAAGATGCTGAGTAGAGGTGTCATATCAGAGATCAATGGCTGCATCAGCACAGGGAAAGAAGTAAGTGTTGTTACCAATGATGTGACAGTCTCTTTCTCAGCAAGCTAGGTAAGGTATATACTGAAATGTTTAGTTTTCCTGCTGTTTTATTTGTTGCTCAGTAGGAAGTTATTTTAAGATGCAATTTATGTTAAAGGAAGTCAGTTTCCCTGATGATGAAGGATTTCTCAGAATACTTAAATTTGCCATTCATTTTGTGTTGCAACTGAAATTTTTTACAAACTCTGTGTATGTATAATATTAAACAGTCCTTGAAAGGCATGCAAATGTAGGTAGTTCTTCATAAGGTATTACTGCATGTGAATCATATCAGTTCTGCATCTCTCCAGGAGTGGGAGTATATAATGATGTAACAAAATGCAGTTGAAAATACTGTTTTATAAAACTAGCATGTTTATGCACTGCTGTTATCAAGTTATATGACAGATAATTAAAACCAGACCAGAGTTTTCCAAGTAAATTAATAAATGGGTTTTGGGATGCTTTGTCTCTGGGCTAATCTGGTTTTCTTCCAGGTCCATGGATGCTGATTAAAGGCATGCTTCCACTCTGTGTAGTGGTGTCAACATGTTATGCTTGGGCCATGCTTTAGGGCCTAGGTAGTGCATGAGTTCCAGTTAATGTCTGCACAAAAGGGGTTGTTTCAAAATGTGGATGGTGTGGAATTCTCCAGTTTGTTGTTCCTTCTGTTCTGTCTGTATGCTCACACTGTTGCTGTCTTAGGTACTTATTTGTAAGATGTCTCTGCTAGAAAGAGATTGCAATTGCATAAAATCTTACAGACTCAGCTGAGTGCCACATGGGGGCTGAAGTGCAGAGGTTTTTCGGATATCTTCCAGAACATCAGAAGAAGAAAGCAGATTGTGTCAACTTAAGGCTTTTCCTCAGTGATGTTTCTTCCATTTTTAATCCAATAGGCTAATGTGTACCATGCCAGTACTGCAAATGGAGAGAACAGAGCAATAAAGATTTACAAAACCTCTATTTTGATGTTCAAGGATCGGGATAAGTATGTGAGCGGTGAGTTCAGGTGAGCTGGAGTTTGGCCTCATTTTGTTGAGTGAGAGAGGTTGTTTGAAAGGTGATGAAATGATTAACACTAATACTGCATTGGTTTGCTAAGGGTCCTCCTGATTTTTTTTTTTAATCTGTTTTAAGATTTCGTCATGGATATTGTAAAGGCAACCCAAGAAAAATGGTGAAAACATGGGCTGAAAAGGAAATGAGGAATTTAATAAGGTGATTCTTCCAATTTTTATTTCATCATCAAAGGTAACAAATTGACATTACAGGAGTATTGCTTGGTCATGGATGTTACTACACTTCATGGTCTCTGGAGTATTCAGGAGAGTGTCTTAATTTTCCCTGTGGGAAGGAAGGGGGGGAGGGGGGGGAGATAAATCACAGAATGGCAAGGGCTGGAAGGGACCTCAAGGATCATGAATCTCCAACCCCCTGCCTCATGCAGGGCCACCAATCTCCACATTTAATACCAGACCAGGCTGCCCAGGGCCCCATCCAACCTGGCCTTGAACACCTCCAGGGATGGGGCATCCACAGCCTCTCTGGGCAGCTGTTCCAGCACCTCACTACTCATAGTAAAGAACTTCCCCCTGACATCCAACCTAAATCTTCCCTCTTTCAGTTTAAAACCATTTCCCCTTGTCCTGCAGTTATCTACCCTTGTAAAGGGTTGACTCTCCTCCTGTTTGTAGGCTCCCTTTAGGTACTGAAAGGCTGCAGTGAGGTCACCCCGCAGCCTTCTTTTCCCCAGGCTGAACAAGCCCAGCTCCCTCACTCTGTCTTTGTAGAGGAGGTGCTCCAGTCCCCTGATCATCTTCGTGGCTCTCCTCTGGACCCTCTCCAACAGCTCCCTGTCTTTCTTGTACTGGGGGCTCCAGACCTGGGCACAGCACTCCAGATGGGGCCTCGCAAGAGCAGTGTAGAGAGGGACAATCACCTCCCTGTCCCTGCTGGCTGCTCCTCTTCTGATGGAGCCCAGGATACCATTTGCTTTCTGAGCTGCAAGAGCACACTGCTGGCTCATGTTAAATGAAATAAAGATACTTCTCTCTCTGGCTTTGTGCTCTGAGCTCTTTGATGTGTACACTGACTTGACTGAAAAGAGAGGAGGAGCTAGAAACAGCTGCTGCTGAGTAACAGCACACTGTGTAATACAGGTTAATCCTAGATTAACAGTGCAAATATTCTGTCTGACCCAGGGTGCTTAGAGAAGGATCAGTGCAGAATGCTTGTGGAGGTTTTTTTGCATTCAATTTTCAGTCTTTGTACCTACAAGTTCCTTGAGCTGAAGAGTTCTTGCTGTGTCTGATGGTTAAAGCAGCAGAGCTGCTGTGGGTGCTATTGCAATGCAAATAGTAGAGTTAGTTTGTATTTATTTTTTTATGATTTTGTTCCTGTATTGCAGGTTGAATACAGCACAAATACCTTGCCCAGAGCCAATTATGCTAAGAAGTCATGTGCTTCTCATGGGCTTTATTGGTAAAGGAGATAGGTATGTATCCTTTGAAAATTGAAATGGTTCTTCTTACTAGTAGCTTTCCACAAAGATTTGTACATAAAGCATTGGTTTGTTTTTAACTATTTCTTTAGGCCTCTGAATTTAACATGTTGCTCTTATGTGTGTGTGCCACCTGTAGAGTACCCAGATCTTTGCCAGCTACCACAGCAGAAAGTCTGCATGATTCTGGAACAATTCTAACCAGAGAACAAGGGCTAGAGAGGTTTCCTAATTTCACCTGAAGATAGATTACCATTTTGTAAAGCAAATGGTAGCATAGCCTGATTTCTTAGTTTATATTGGAAGCAGAGCTACGGTATCTTTGGCAAGCACGTATCAAGCTTTGCTGCCTTTCATGCTAATTTGCTTGATACGGAGTGAAAGGATCAGGTACAGCAATTAACATTGGTGGCTGCGATGAAGAAGAAAAGTACTCACTTTCTATTATTTCTGTTGCAATTTTAAGGCCTGCTCCTCTGCTGAAGAATGCTCAGTTATCTGACTCAAAAGTCCGGGAGCTGTACCTGCAGATCATCCAGTACATGAGAAGAATGTACCAAGATGCCAGACTTGTTCATGCAGATCTCAGTGAATTCAATATGCTGTATGTTTTTAACTTTTGAATTGTGACATCTGAAATGTATGTGTTGGCAGCATCTTTGCATAAATTTAGAGAGCACTAACCTGCCTGTGAGGGAGGGTGGAGTCCTTTTTGTGACTGTTAATCAATTTATCAATTACGTAGCTTTTAACCCAACCCCACACCGCTCTGGCTCTAGTATGTAAGATGCATGCTTGAGAAATACATTGAGTTTGTTTGCTGGCTCATAAGATTGAAACAGGCTTTGTTCCCTGTCCCTCCATAATCTCCCATGTAAGAGTGCTGGATTCAGTGCAGCCCTGCATGTTTGTCCACAGGTACCACAGTGGGGATGTGTACATCATTGATGTCTCCCAGGCAGTGGAGCATGACCACCCACATGCACTGGAGTTTCTGCGAAAGGATTGTGCCAATGTTAATGGTGAGCGGGCTGCTCTTGTGTGCTTGTTCTGATAGATGATTTTGACAGTGTTTTCTTTAAGTGTGTTTGTTTTTAAGAAGGTGAACTGTATTCTTTCTTCTATTCTTTGAGTTATATACAACTCTGGTTGTAGAAGCTGCCTGCTCTCCTTCCTAGGTTCTCGTGGGTTGTTCAGGGTGCTGTCTTCTATGCCAAGTTCAGCAGGCAGTGCAGCCTATTTTGCTAGAAATCATCTGCATCTCAGATTTACAAGAGAAAGAAGAGGTCAGAGTCCTAGTCTGCAGCAGCACTGATCTTAACTTCCCTCACATTTGAAAGATTGTGCAGGCATACTGATCTGTGTCCTTCTGTGAGTGTGTAATCCACAGCTGGAATTCATGGGAGTGTTCATGGAGTTCATGGGAGTGTGCTTATGTTGTGCAAGAGAAAAAGATGTTCTGGTAGTCTGTGTTTCTGCCCAAGAACATGAAATCTGTCACAGCAGGCTGATTTTCCTTCCCCCCTTTCTTTACTGTGATTTTTCCAATTGTACAGAGACATCTGAAAGTCTGAAGAAATTGTGTACGCTTTGCTGTGTATTTCTCAATACTCAGTATGCTAATTGTTCCTTTTTCTTCCTTTCTTCTTTGCCCTCTCCATTACTCCCTTCTGACCCAGATGTTTGCACCCTTGCTCTTTTTTTAATGCTTTTTTGGCTTGTTTTCTTTAAATGCCATTGCCACAGTGACTTGCAGTGTTCTTGGTTGTTTTTCTTTTCTGCCACTGCATCTTTCTCTGTGCAGTTGTACAGAGGCTGTAAAAGACACCTTCTAGCTGTGGGCATTGCTAAGACTTGTGGTTCCATGAGCACGGAGAGCTGCCACCAAACTAATTTTTTTTGTTGTTTGTTCTGTGATTAATTTCTCATGGGGGAGATATCTTCTAAGATCGTTAGTAGGGAGCAATTACTAAGTAGTCCTTAGTGTGTTTCACTGCTGTTTTTCAGTGCTGAAGCAAAACCTCCAAAATCATTTATGTTTGCCTCAAGAAAGCAATTCTGAGCATGGTAACAGAAAAATTCTGATATGTTTGTGTGTCCCGTGTGTTTTTCCATTCAGGTGGATTATAAGCAGGCTGTACTGTTTCAGTGGGTATTTCAGATGCTCTTTGACAGAAGTTTGAGATCTACATTCCTTATTTGAGATACATTTTTCATCTCAGCCACTGCAATTATTTACTTCCTTCTCTTCATCCCCTGCTCTATTCAGCGTGGTTCCTACTGAAGTTGATTTGACTTAACAGTTGCTCACTTTGTTTCTTCCAGTATTTATCACTTTGGGAAAATTATGCTGTTATGTTGTTGTAACTATCACTGCTGCATGTATTGCACAACACTTACAGTTTTTTGTCTCTGCCCTTGATTTCTGATAGGCTTTTTCCAGAAGCACAATGTTGCAGTGATGACTGTGAGGGAACTGTTTGAGTTTATTACTGATCCTTCTATCACAAGTGAGAACATTGATGACTATCTGTCAAAGGTAAGGCCACATGGCATTGTTGCTCGTGTAGGTAAACTTGAATGATAAACTCAGAACTAGTTCAGACCCCTTCGTGTTGTGTGCCCTATATCCTGCTGTTGAAGTTGGCTGGTAAATGAGATGCTGGATGTTTGCAGGGTGGGCTGAGTGCAGAAGGGGGTGACTCGAGCAACGTCACTGGGGGGGAATGGTTTTTTAAATGGCTTTAAACTGAGACAGGGGAGGTTTAGGTTGGATATTAGGAGGAAGTTTTTCACACAGAGGGTGGTGATGCACTGGAACAGGTTGCCCAAGGATGTTGTGAATGCCCCATTAATAAAGCAGATCTGCGGTTGTACGTGTACTTGTAGCAACGTTGGTTACCATTAGGTGTCGCTCGAGGCATTGCTATGGGGAAGTTTTGTGAGTGAGACCGAAGTGCGGGCAGAAATACGTACAGATGGGAATGGTTAGTTGGATTAAACGATGCGATTCTAAAGAGTGATAACTGTATTGTTTTGTATTGTTTTGTATTGTTTCTGTAGGCAATGGAAATAGCATCAAAAAGAACAGAGGAGGAGAGATCCAGCCAAGATAAAGTGGATGAGGAAGTGAGGATTTCTGTTCCTGCTATGAAATCAAAATTAGCCTGTCCTCTTCTGAACAGTGAAGACTGTTCTGTTTTATTTGGCAAAATGCACCGTTGATAAACAAAACACTGTGATGCTGATATGTCCTGAACTAGTTGAGATATGAAGGGTTGAGGGATGTAGTGTATAAAAGCTTAAGTGACATTGATCATGTGCTAAAAAACAAATACTCAGTTACCTAAACTGGTGTGTTTGCTTGTAGCTAGGTCCCTTGGTGAATCTTCCACTTCAGGTTTGGTTTAAAAACAGATAAAACCCAGCTAAGTAGAAGTCTGGTTGTGTCAGTGTTTTCGGACTGCTGATACACAGACCAGGAGAATTCGCGTCATATTCAGATGCATGCATTGACCAAATTGCCTGTCTGCCATTGTTCCCAGTCTACTTCATTTCTTCCACATACTATTTCCCTCCCTTGCTTTTACATACAGCAGGAGCCATCTTACATCTTTTCTGCTGGTATTTTTGAAAACTGCTAATGTTCTGGCAAATCTTGATGTAAAGATGATGTGAAGATGAAACAATCTTAATTTGTTTTTTTAATCTTGCCTGTCCACTGAGAAGAGTTTAAAAACCAAAAAATCACACCACACACAAATAAAGCAACACCTTAGTGTTGGGCAGAGCTTATATCAGCAAGAACCTCTTTGTTCTAGTTCACCCAGCATTTAATATTGGAGTCTATGTTGCTTGATATACCAAAGACATTTTCTCTTGGGGCTCTGTAGGTTTTACTGACTGCTTCTGGTTCAAAATTGGCCAGTTAAAGGTTTTCATTTCCAGAGATCTCTTGAGCATACAACTCCTTTTGAATTAGCTGGTCAGATGTTAGTGTTTTTTATTATAAGTGCTTTTTAGCAAACAGTTTATCCCTTTGCACGTGTGAATGTACTGTCCTGTAAGAGATGGTTAAGTAATAGCAAAGTTCAAGTTCCCTCTCAGAGTTCTCAGTTTAGCTCAACTAGCTTGTGCCACCTCTCAGAAGAACAGATGATTTAGAGACAGGGTCTGTGCTGTCTGCACAACACTTAGTCTAGTAGTTAAGCAGTTAAGTGTGCTTAGTTTGTTCTAGGATTGAATTGATACTGTGGAAGAGAAAAGTAAAATGCTTCAGTTTGTTGCAGGATGCTCTGAAAACGATAGCCTGACAAATTTTAATGTGTTGTTGATGCTGCAGTTAGTCCTGCACCAGTATAGTACTGTAACTCCTTTCTGAGTTGGAGTCTGTGTTGAAGCAGGAACTATTGCATGAAGGCATTAAGTTGTATCAGCATGTTTTAATGGAATTGCCTCCTGAGAGCTTTGCAGACATAACAGTAAAAACATTGGGGAAAATTCTTAGAATATGAAACTCAAATTGGTTGAGAGGAAGTTGGGAGGATTGGAGAAGTTCCTATGTGGCTGCTAGTAATGGTACTAACATAGGGGCCTTGTTAACCATGAGCTGCAATGGTTTGTAGGTTGCATGTGAAGAATCTGTTCCAGCAAAATAAATAGTAATAACCTGCAGTTCAAAAGGTGGTGTGTGACTTCATGTTTGTTCTGAGCTTCTCTAAACTATGAAATCCCTTGTGATTATTCCTTTAGTGATGCTTAATTAGTATGGAAGAACATCATGAAACTATATAAATGACTGAATCTGTTTTCCCTTTGTTTTCCTAGGTGTTCAAGAAGGCTTACATACCTCGAACTTTGACTGAAGTTAAAAACTATGAGAGAGATGTGGATATAATGATGAAATTGAAAGAAGAGGATTTGGCATTGTGTGTTCAGCAAGATAATGTGAGTGTGTCCCTATAGTGTAGAATACTGAATCTAGTGTCATACTTCCAATTCTCTGGTTAGTACTGATGCTTGCACTGCTATCTTTGAGGCTCATTTTCCTCGGGTAGAAAGATGTAAGGCTTGCATTTTGGTAAAATAATTTTCTTTCTGTGTCTCTGAGTGTAGATTCTCTACCAGACCGTGACAGGATTGAAGAAGGATTTGTCTGGTGTTCAGAAGGTGAGAGGGCCTCTTTGAAATCCTTCACTGTACCCATTTTCATAAAAATACTTAAAGGAATACAGAGAATGCCTCATCTTGCAGCTGAGACCACGGAACAAGCCTTTTGTCTATGGAGTGACTGTTTCTGCCCGTTATGTGGCAGTGGTATAGACTAAATGGAAATAAAAATCAGGGAAGGGATCAGGCTGCAGCCCAGTTTCTAGTGTTGTTTAAGAGTAAGTGTGTTTTGCAGTGTAGATGTTTGTGTTTGCACTAAAGCATATCTGCAGTGGCCCCAAGGTAGATTTTGGTATGATCCAACTATAATTAAAAATTGGCTTTCATCTGTGTTAGCAAATAGTGTATAACTTATGGAAATCAGTTTGGGAGTGTCAATACATCTGTGCTGTGAGCCCTAACCTTAAAGTTCCTGTCTTGTATATTTTAGATATCCTATTCTTAGTTTGAATTAACCTCTTTTTGACTCTTCTTGAGACTCAGTGATAGCTGTAGTAATAGAGAAAATGACACAAGTTTGCTCAAGGGTTTCTTTGTAGAAGATTATAGATATATTTTTTCAATATATATGTGTATATATTTTAGTCCTAGGCTCCAGGGTTTGGGTTTGAGATAAACTCCCTCTTGATACATCTTGCAGATTCCTGCACTTCTAGAGAAGAAGACGGATGAGTCAGAAACAGGCTCTGATGATGATGGTGGCAGCTCAGAGGACTCTGACTCAAGCTGTAAAGAATTTCGGCATCCCAAAGATCTTCCAGCTGTAGTTACTATGGATAAAAAGGTCAGTTGTAGGAAAAAAAATGTACATTTTTTGACATCTGCCCCCATGACAGGAAAAATCTACACCTCGTTTGTCCTACTTGTAGTCTGAAACAAGCTGTGAGCTTTTTCCTCTCTGAAGAGCAAGAGCAGAGAAAGCAAATTTCATTATGGATGCTTTATTAATGATGTTTTTGTCAAGAGGAACATTATACCATAGCATTCTCTAGCCTAAACAAAGCTAGAAGAGAGATCTCTGCAGAGAGCTTTAGGGTATGCAAAGCAGAGCTTAGTGAAACCTGGGCAGATCTTCAGTCCCTCTGGCTAACCTTCCAGCTTTGCTATGCAGGTTGGTGGATGTGGCTCCTGGTGAACCACCCTTTGTCCAGGAAACTGAGACCACCTGATGCTTGCAGCTGGAGACTTGGTGACAATGTCTGTACTACAGTGGCTTTTGTCATACTGTTGGTACAGGCTGACAGGCACTGCTGCAGGGAGAAGACTGAAAGCAGATGTGCGAGGGAAATAACGTGTTTTTCAGGTTTTGTTTTCCAAACTACAGAACAAATATGCTTAGTTCTTGTGATGCTTTTCTGTGGAGTCACCCCCATGGGTGAGAGCCTGGTGGCAGCTTTTTAGGTGCTGTGCAAAAGAAAGATGAAACTTGCCAGCTTAAGGTATTAGAGTTGTGGGGGTTTGTTAGGTTTGTGGGTCTGTTTATATTTTTTTCTTTTCTCCCTTAGGAAAGATAATGGGTTTCAAATCCATGAAATAAAATGGCAGTGCTCTTCTAGATGCTTTTTGTACTAATCTAAAGCTGCTACCTTTCAGATCTGAAGCAGGGAGGTCTTGGTCACTTCTCAGCATTGTGGATAAGTCTTTACTGTCTAGCAGGAATTCCAGTGTATTGCAGTCACGTAGCATCCTTTCTAGCCAATCCTGATGATGACTGGATTGCTCTGAGTTACCAGCAGTTACTAGATCACTATTTTTGTTTGAGTAAAAACACATCCTACCGTAGCCCCTAGGGGTAGCAGAAAACTTGGATCAGGCTTTCTATTGGAATCTTTGCTATAAATAGCATGAGTTGAGTGCATCTTGTTGCTTTTCTTCAAAGGCTGCATGAAAGTCAGGTTTTAACTAGTTTGAATTTTGTACTGTCATTACCAGTGTGCAATTCCACCCTCATATTATGCTTCCTTTCTCCTTTCCTCTCTCCCTCTCAAAGTTATTTTCATTAGACCTGCATTTTTGATGTGATGTATTAATTAACTTAGATTGATAGGCCTGCTCAAACCTCCTATTCCTGCTGGCTTTGAATGAATGGTGTTTTGGTTCTTCATAGGAGAGGAAAAAGATGGTTAAAGAAGCCCAAAGAGAAAAGAGAAAAAACAAAGTCCCAAAGCATGTGAAGAAGCGGAGAGAGAAGACTGCGAAAATGAAGAAGGGCAAATAAGATCAACTTTGGCTTGGGAAAAGGACTGATTTGTTTCTAGTTAATGAGTCACTTTCTTTTATAATTAAAAATCCTTTATTTACATCATACAGTACTAACTGTGAGGGTGGTCTCAGTGGCAGTGTGGTGTGATTACTTGACCAGACTTTATGCTGTGGCTTTAGCAACAGGAAGGAACAAATTTAACTCATTTGAGCTTTTAAAAATCCTTTTCAAGATTCAGCTTGTTGTTAAACTCACATTGATTTTGTTTGTGGCATCTTCCTCTCTTGTCTTACACTGTGTGTGTGCTGGTTCATTTTGTTCCAGAGCATTGATTTGATTCAAACAGATTCTTGGAGGAGGGGGGAACAACAAAGATGGGAAAACTACTTCAAGTAAAGGCCTGTGCTTCTGTGCTGTGAAGGCAGCAGCTTAAGCTAGCTGACTTCTGCAGGCTGTTGCAGCTATCTGCAGGTAACCTTGCTGCCTCTTTGCTTTCATCACCTTTTGATGTTATCTTGCTGAAAGCTGAATTTCATGATTTGGGAGGCAACTTTTCTCACTGCCCTGTTCCCTTTTGCAACCAGACAGGCATGCCTAAACAGACTAAAGCTGTGATATTTCTGTGTGTGCTGACCCCAGCATGGGGGCAGTGTTGCTCTTAAGGAAAGTAGGACACACCGTTTTGTAGGCTGGCCAAATGAATATTGGACATCAAGATTGCATTTGTTCAAATTCAGGGTGGAAAAGCTGTCATGGGAGCAGTTTGTGGTGTGCCTCAGCACTACCAGTCCATGTGCTAAGGTGTATATAGGGCGGAGCTGGCAGAGTTTGAAGAGTCCTTTGTGTTGGAGCAAAGGTGCCGTATTCAAAACATCCCACCTCTTCTCATGGCAGCAACTTGGGCCACTGAGGCTGACAGAAGCCTTGAGAGAGGTGTCGTCCTTGTTCATCAGTCATCTTTTCCTGCTGTCAACAGTTTCAGGACTCCCTGTGCCAACACAGACAAGGGCTTTGAGTTCAGTAAAAAAAAATAAAAAATCTTTTTTTTTTTGTTTTCCCATTTTAGGGGTGGAGTTGATGCCCTGGGGATTACACTTATGGGACACACGTTGTTTGGTGATAGAAGAAGGCTGTTATCCATCAGCAGGCATCAAGCAATGATGGGTTGGCCAGAGGCAGGGTGAAGCTTCCTTCTCTATTCTTTCCCTTCCGCACCCATAAGAGATTGTGGGATGGTCACAGGCAAAGACTGAGATGTTGGCCAATTGCACGCATGGCTGCTCCACTAAGGAGCACGTTTCCTCAAAGAAATGTGGGCTGCTTGCACTTCTCAGCTTGACCTCTACAACCCCTTCTGTTCCTTTGGTTAGAATTGTGGTCAGTGCTTCCAGACACCTCCCTCCTTTTCTCCCTGTCCCCACAGGGACTGATAGACTGTTACGTACATGTTTATGTAAGTGAAGATGGGATTGCTGGAACATGTTGGGAATCAAGACTGGTTTTGCCTCAGCAAGTAGGGATGTTTGTTGGGAGCCCACGGAAAAACACATGCAGTTTGGAAAATGACATTACATCAGGTGCAAAAAAGGTGACTGCCTCTAACTTGATAGTGAAGGAAGGGAGGGGCATAAGACCTATGTTCTGAGATGAGCAAGTACTGTTGATGGCAAAATTAGTCCTACTAGCTGCATTGACGTATTTTCTGCTTTTGCTTTCCATCATGGAAATTGTGTAGTAACAGGCAAGTTGGCCTTCATTATATCTGCAATTAATATGGTTGGTGGTTGTCTTGAATGCAAAAAGTCTTGTGCACTTTGCCATTGGATCACATTGTATCAGTCACTCTTCTCACAAACTAACAGTTCTTTGGTGTATCAGTCATAACATCCATGTTTCATGAAAGTGATGCACTGGGTAGTGAGGGGGGGAGACTGGAGGTGTTAGCAGGGAATTGTGTCCCTTCTGTTGCTTTCTTCTAGCACAGAGTTGTGCACTGGGCAAACCTCAGTGTGTTTTGTGAAATGGGCCAAGCCTGAGTGAATCTCTGACAAACTCTGCTCTAAGTTCAAGTAGGCCACTAGTGGGCTTCTCTGCTAGAAAACTGGTTCGTGGCTGGCAGTGAGGTTGGGGTTGCCAGATGCAGAGGCAGCCCCATTTTCTTTGGGAACTCTGAAGATGAGGGTAAATACTGGATCTTGGTGTTGTGCCTGGAAGCTACTAAGCTAGAGTGTGTGTGCCACTGAGGGCTTTTGCCTTCCTTACCTGAGGAAGCACTTGAGAAAATGGAGGCTGCTGTGATCAAGGCTTGAGGGAAGAACTGTCCCAGCTCACATAGCCTCATCTCCCCTCCAGGCTGTGTTGCACAGCCTGATCAAGTTTGCCCAGCTCTAGCTATCTGGTAGTGTGAAGGTGGGCCTGAATCAGCTGTTTAGGAGCATTGCTTGCAGCTGTGTGCAGCAGGACTACCTGAGAAGGCTATGCAAAGCTGACTTTCTGCCTCAGGTGCTTTTCTCTAGGTATGTAGTCTAGGTATTTGCAAAGCATCTGTGGAGGAGCATGCACAGATGAGGAGCACAGAAGAGCCTGTGTTTTGCAAGTGCAGGTGACCTGAGGATAACTTGCAGCTGGGAATGCATTTGTTGAGGTGGGCTGTGAGAGCAGTTCATGTGCCCTGGCTACTGCAGGCTTGAGGTGTGGAGAAGTCCACAGGCACTGGGTGGGCCAGAAGCTCTTTGGGCAAGGGCCATGAGGTGAGCCTCCTTTCTGGTGAACTCTGTAGCAGGAAATAGGCTATTAAAGATACATCAGGGACACACAACTATCTAATGACGTCAGTCTAGTGGTAGGTGGAGTAGATGAGAAGGACTGGCATTTGTTTGTATCCTGTACTAAGGAAAAAACTGAATATCCTATGCTAGTTTGAACTTGAAAGCTATGTTGTATGGACATCAGTGTATGATGAGGTAGGGTGTTTTTTCCTGAGTAATAGGATCTGAAGAAGCCTACTTGCTTTGCATTTGCCGTAGCAACATGTTTATTGCATACTCTGTCACTGTTATCTCTGCAGGTGGAGTATTGCTGGGGTAGGAATGCCAGTACCTCCTATAAGAACTGGGTCACAAGCAGCATAAGGTAATGCTGCTGCTTTACGCTTCCTCTTTTTCTTCCCCTCTCTTATGGAAGTTACTGATAGGGCTGTGGGAAGTGTAACACCCCTGTGGAGCAACATGAGTGAACAAACTGTGTAGAGGTTGGCTATGGGTAAGTGGTGGGCTGTGGCTGCTGCAGATGGCTGAGATGGGTTACAGCAGTGCTGAGGCTGATGTGATAACTATCCCTTAGGCGGAGAGAATTCCTTTCTGTTGACCGCAGATCTGCTGCTCCTTCATTCTATTGCTCACAGGGTATTCAAGTGTCAAAATGTAGCATCCAGATGAGTTTCTTTCCCCCTTCTGAATGAAAACATCTGCACTGCTGTCATGACTTGAACTCAAGCTGCTTTGTCACCGTAGCTTTGGGAATGTTTCTGTAAGCAGGACCGTATATTGTCTGACACGTTTGTCAAAGTATGCATGTTTTGTTATCTGCGTTCTCCGAAAATGGATGGGAACGCAGTTCTGTCAGGCAATTGCTATGAGTTTTTACAGCTGCAAAAGAAACAGCACGGCTAACTGAACTGCTTTAACACTCTTTTTCTGGCTAAAATGTAAAGACTAAGTATCTGAAGTACCACCTATGAAATCAAAACACCCATATGTAAAATGTTCAATTGAAGAATCAGAGATTCTCCAATTTAAGAGGATTATAACTATAACTATAATTTAAGAGAGGACTATAGCCTTGTTTGGGGGAAGTATAGTGAAGAAGACCACATCCTAAGGCTGGTATTTAGTTCTGCTCAGAACATGAACCCACAGGGCATGCTTCTGTCCCCTGGTCTGGTGCTGTGTGTGCCATCAGCTGCCATGTGAGGAGGTTGTGGTAGCATCACCCACGGTCATCCCAAGACTGGTGGCTCAACCCTGTGGTGTCAGTGCAGGGAGGAGCGCAGTCAAGGCGAGAGCTGAGGCTCTTTGGACAGGAGAAAGTGAAAAAGCAGGATGAGAGGCTTAAGGAATTATGGAAACAGCAAAGAAAGTTAATGCTCAAGTGTTGTTCACCAAACCCTGTGATAGTAGTTAAAGGAAGCTTAACCTGGTGGAGGGTTGGTTTGAAGCAGGTACAAGTACTTTTCTTGGGACAGCCCACAACAGTGCAGGTAAGCAGAGGTTGAAAGTCAGCTCTCTAATGCTGAGGTGCTGTTAACTTTTGTAACTTTGTATTTTTAGACAGACTGAACATGTGGAAGGCGTCAGATTCTCAGATATGGGTCAGATACTTGGAGAGATGCATTTCTTGGAATTCACAGCCAAAAGATCTAGTGATATTTGAAAGCGTACGTCATACAGTGGAAGTATTTACAACTGTGCTATCAAAGACAAAAGCATAAAAAAGCAATTTAGTCCTATTGTAGGACATTCCAGAGCAGTTCTCAGCTGCCAGTCACTGAGCCTCAGTGGGAGGAGAGGAGTAAGAAGGAAGTACTCTCAGCAGGTATCTTCTGTTCCATAAAAGTTGATCTGTGAGGTGTCTGAGTTTTCTTCACTTTTTTCCCCACCCTGTCCATCTTCCTAAAATGCAGTATGGCCAATTTGCCTTCTGAACTGTTGTGAAACTGCATCTCAGTTCTGAGGACTTCACCAGTCCTTCAGTCTGACGCTGATTTGTTGCTTCTCCCATGCATGGTCTTACAGTACATAGCAATAGAAGGACTGGGAGGTGGAGGTTGTGGATTTAGTTTCCTCATCGTGAGGCCAGTAGAACCAGCTTTGCATGTAAG